AGTTGTTTGACTTTGATATTGAAGTAAAACCAATCCTTGAGGTTCTTGTTGGTAAAACAGTTGAGCAGGCACTACTTGAGGTCATGGAAGAGGAAGAACTGTCAAATCTTCGTGCACAACAGAGGAGATTCAAAGAACTACGTAATGCTGAACTTGTTGAGACCCAAAGACTAGAAGAACAGGAAAGACGGCATAGAGAAGAGAAAGAACGTCGTATGAAACAACAGGCAGAAGTACTCAGAAAGGAAAAAGAAACCGGTGAAAAGATATCAGCGCGTGCCTTTGCCCAGGTAATTGCAATTTTTGTATGTTACAAAGAATAAGCCTCGAAATAGTCAGTCTTATCTAACAGTACATTTCGTTATTCCAAATGTAGAGTTACCTTGCGGACCTTGTGCCATCAGTGTTTGGCTCACTAAACGAAAATGGATACTTCTATGATCCAGTGGAAAGAGGTAAATGATTTCTTGTTCCTAACTTACAAGACCTCTACTGAAATTTGTTTAGCTCAGTTCTCAAGTGACTACATGTACACATACCAATTTTAAACTGCTTTTTTAATTTTTTGTAATAATTCAATTTGTTTAATTTCTTTTCAGACGTAGAAACATACTTTATGCCATGGTTATTACAGAGAGTGGAGGGTGAATTAAACCAGAGTGTCATCTCGAGAACTGTCCTTGATGGTTGGTACCATGCTGTGATCATAACTTACAATCATTCAACGATGAATAATGTCTATTCTTTGCAGATTTGTGTTATTTATTTACCTTATTATTAGCGGTAAACTTCAGCTATAAAAAACTGCTATAGAATATTAAGCAACATAAGAAAATCATGTTAAAAAACCAACCGTTTCGACATTTAGCTGTCATTATCAAGTCAAAATGAGGGTCAATATAAATTGTATAAATACTACATGTAAGTGAACATTAGCTGACCGCAGAGGAATAAAATTGGTAAGAATATTCTTTCAGACAAAGAGTTCTGCACGAATGGAGTCAGCCTGTGTGTTTAAACTGGGATTACATTCTTTTATGAGTAGCATTTCTATGAGGTAATCATGGCACTTAAATTGGAGTATGCAAAACCGGCTTTTTTTTTTCCAGGAAACTTCTATCCCCATGGGTTTCCAAAAAATGTTTACCAATCCCCAGGTTCTTATTTTCTTCTGTGCAATGTTTCTGACGTTTGTTTCTTACTTTTCTTTTTTCCTGTTTGACTCTGCAGCAATCATAAGAGATGTTGTCCGAAGACGCTTTGAAGTATATCATAAGCTCGAAGAAGCTGCTAGACTTGCTGTGGAGCAAGAGGCAGCAGCCAAGGCAGCAGAAGAAAGAAAGAAAGCTGAAGAGATTGCGGCTAAAGCAGCTGCAGAAGAGGCCAAAGCCCAGGCAGCAGAACAGGGTGATCAGGAAGGTGAAGCTGATGGTAGAGAAACAGCTGATAAACCTGATGAAGATAGTGTTGCTGGAGAGGATGGTAGTGGTGAAGCTGCTCCTGCTGTCACACCAGCAGAATCAGGACCAAAGGATCCTGAACCAGCAGATGATGCTGAAGCTGAACAAGAATAAGCAAAGACTGCATTTATT